AGGCCGGCCTGCCTCCCTCCTCCCGTCGCTGTCCAACAATAATAACCGATTCTTCGAACATATTTTTCTCCCGCCGCCCCCCCCCCGTTCCGCCTTGGATTTATGCTCCCGTTAATTGTGCCTGATCTCAATGATTCCGGGCGGATGGGACGAAGTTGCTTTATTGCAGGTTTTATTGTACTCCGCGCTCTCATTTGTAACTTGCCTAAAGTGCTTCTGGATTTGAGCATAATTAAATTGAGAAATGCTCCGATATGACGGCCGCCGCCGTTTCCTTGGGATTTTTTTAAAAAAAAAACTATATGGGGAAATATGATCCCTTCAAGCGGGCGGCCTTAAACCCATAAAGTAAACCTAGTGGGGCGGAACGATTTTATTTTATTTTAATTTTTTTTGGGGGGGGTCTGATGTCTGCAACCTATTCTCGAGCCTGCACAAACCCACCGACTGTTCGGTTTTATAATCCCGCCGAGATATTTATAATGGAATAATCCGAGGCCCTCGATTTAGCAGATCTTCAACACGGTTGCTAGGAAAGGTTAACAGCGGAAACCGCGGAGGGAAACGACATTTTCCCCGTGACCCACATTCTTTGCAAAGAGCGACGCTGCTCGCCCTACACGCACCCCATGAAGACAAACACCTCGACTCGGAAGACAGGCGCTCCCCACGAACCACTGCATGCATGCACCCACACACACACACACACACACAACCCGGATCAAAGTCCTGAGCTTCCACACCACTTCGCTCCACGGCAACGAATGAAGCCTGCAGCCCCAGGATTTCGGCTTAACCGGACTGGGGATCCGTCCGCTTACGCTGAAGGAGGGAGTGGGTGGATGGCTGGGTCTGGATAAGGATTTGAACCAGATGGCAACTGCATCCCCCCCCCATCCCGGCTGCAAATACACCCCATGATCAGTCACTGCTGCCTGAGAAGGCGAAGGAACGACTTGGGATGGGGGGACGGGCGGGGAAGATTTGCCGTTTCGAAAACCCTCCATGGAAACGAAATTGCAGGGAAAGGAGCCTATTTTAGATCAGGTTTCTCACAGTAACCGAAACCCGCGCTAGCATCAAATTAGTTTACATCCCGATACCCAAACACATGTGGCTGGAAGTCCCCTCGGTCTCAACAAGGGCTGCCTGCGCTGGGAAGCCGTTCGCGTAGATTTCAACAGACTTTGTTCTCTCCTCGTCGCTGTGTTCAGAATAGAAAGGCCGTGCTAAATATTACCTGCATGGTATTTCTTTTTTTTAATTTGGGGGGGCGGGGATGTTTTATTTTAGGACCATCCAAGCGATTGCCTAAATTCTTCCCCACCCGCACTTCGAGAGAGGCACGTTTTGTTTTGTTTTTTTATTGGTAAAACATCCTTAAACGCAACCGTTGCCGAGATGGACGCAGGCAGAAGATAGCTGTCACAAATTTCCTATCCCTCCCCACCAATTCCAAGTCTGATTTGTTAAAGGGGGGCGGGGGGGAGAAAAGGTTCCCAAATGACCCCCAGATAGCTGAACCCATCTGAACGGTCTCCCTGAAACATGAAACTGTGAAGCATTAAACTGTCAACGGATATATCATGGTAATATTTGATCCTGTAATTTGGGATGGCGTTTTAGCAACAACCGCCCCCCCCCCAAATCACATCCAGATACCGCAAGCTGCCTTCCCCACCCCCTCCCGCGCCTCCCCATTCTTTCTGTATGATAAAACCAGCGCTGGAAACAGCCATGAAATTAGTAGCCTGCTCAGATTCTATATATGTATTTTTCCAGTGGAAAAGCCAGAAGGGCGGGACCTTTGAGAAGTAATTCTCCTCTGAATTCAAGACCATAAACCCTGGATTTGGGGGACACCGTATGCAGGAGCGACGGGATTCAACTGCAGACAGTGGGCAGCACGTATTCGGCGTGTTGAGCTGACCTCGGTTAGAACAGGAGACCCTGCGATGATTTGCTAGGACGTGGCTTTCAATTGTACCATTTACGATTATTTTATTTCCTTTTTTGTTGTTGTCTGCCTGTTTCCGTTTTAAAAACTGCTATCATCATCATCATTAATATTTGAGATATAGGGAGACTCTGGCTGAATTTTTTTTTTAACACAATCACCTTCGGACACCCCCCCCCCCCCCCCCCAATGCCAGAGCCACATTCATTTGCAATTCATCGGGCTGCTCCCGGTATTCCTTGAGCCTCGGGCTTTCGTCAAGGGGAGCGCTCTGGTGTCCCTGGACGGGCCAGATCCGGCTTGAAGACCAGCCCACCCACCCAGATCACGAAATCGGGTGGCCTTTCCGACGGCGACCGCTCTTTGTCGCCAGGCGTGAGAAAGCCATTGTGAACAATGGCCCATTCGTTGGAGTCACCCCAGTATCCGTGCGGGCAGCCCTTCCTGGGAAGAGAGGCCGGGTGGGTTTCAACGGGATCGAGACCCCCGCCTGCCTGCCTGGCTGGCCCTCTCTGCAGGCTGGAGCGGTCCCTTGCGCCCTGGGGGAGTCCGGATCCTGACCCTCCGCCCAGCCCCCCAGCCCCGCCGCGGCAGCGCCCGGGAAGGACGGGAGGGAGGTGGGGGGGGGGCCGCGAGGTTCTCCTTACCGAGACGTCTTCGAGGGAGTGAGGTATCGAGTGGATGGGGATGTCTCCTAGTCCTGAGCTCAAGCCGTGAGGTCCATGCAAAAGGTCTTCATGCCGCCGGTAATCCCTTCGGGGGTCCAAGCCGGAGAGCTGGTGGGGGAGGCCCCGGTGGGTATGCAAAAGGCCCGTCTCCTGGCTCTGTCTCTGTCCAGGCCAGCCCGGGTGTTGAGGCTGGGGCTGGGCGTGCAGGGGGTTCAAGCTATAGGGGTCGTTAACGTGGGAATAGGGGTCTTGGGACTGAGGGTAAATGGGCTGGTACGGTGGCGGGAAGTAGGGGGGCTGGAAGTCGGCGTTGGGGGTGTGGGAGAGCGGCGGGGCGCTGGTGTAGGGCGACTGGCCCACAGACCCCAGCTGGGGTAGCCGGGCGGTTCCATTGCTGGTGCCATCGTGGCGGTCCTATGGAAGAAGACAAAGGGGGGGGGAGAGAAAGAAGGTCACAATCAGGCTCTCGAGAGCAGGCCACATGCCCTGGGAACCCCCACCCCACCCCCACCCACCCCAGGTATGCCGTCTGCAATTCGCTTGGATCAAAACAGAAGGAGGAAAATGAAACCCCTCCGAAGAGCCGGCACCTTTTCCTCTTCAGCAGGCCAAATCGGTAGGATTTCTCTCTCTCTTCTTTTAATGACGACCCCCCCACCCAGTCTTCAAGATCAAACGGAGGAAACAGAAAACGGTCTCGAGTATAAAATGCTCCGGCGAATTTGTTTTTCAGTGCACAAACCGAATTTAGCCACTCCGGTTGAGGGGTGGGGAGAGAAATTCGGACTCTGTGCAGAAAAACAATATTGTTGGCCTTTCTACGTTGGCGCAGCTGAAACCAGACGACCCACCGCAAAGATATCTTTGTTGTGTGTCTGTTGGTTTTCCGAAGGAAAACAACGCAAAAATAGAATCGCCATTTGTTTTTAACAGCGCCGGCCTATCAACGTTTGATTTTGAACACTCCGACCTTGGACAAGTTTGCGAAGAAAAAAATAATAAAATCTGGGAAAGACATGCCATTAAAACCAATAAAGAAATAATAGCGACACGCTGGTAACATTGATTAGCTCTCGGCGATACTATAACACATGCACATATATGAAAGAAAATAAGAAAATATTCGACATAAGTGATCATTTTTAAAAAATTAAAAAAAACTTGGTATAGAATCGGGAAACAGAAACCAAAATTAAAAGAGGGCAGGGAAGGGAAATGAAAAACGTGAATTATTTTACCCGTATACAACAAGGGACGTGGAAGGTTATGAAAAGGGTCGCTCACAGGTACCTCTCGAGGAAATTAACAGCCACACAAATGGAGAGGTGGGGTGCGGGGGGGGATTATAACGACGATATCGTTACATGTCTCCGACTGTCCATCTCACGCCGGTCTTATTACCCCGGGCGAGAACAGAGAGAAAATGCGAGAGATGCAAATGAAATTATTGGGGGGGGGGAGTCGAGACCCCACCGGAAGCCGCCTTTTGTACGGAAAGCAACAATAAAAGTTACGATGGAAACAACTCCAAGAAGCAGCAGCAGCAGCAGCAGGACGAAAAGCGGGCGGCGGGAGAAAGGGACGGCCGGAGGACCCAGCCGGAGCGCGAGAGACGCCCCCGGGGCGCTCCCCGCCAGCCCCGCACCCCAAGCCAGCCCCAGGAAGAGAAGGCGAAGAAGAAGCCGCACTCACCATCGCCGAGAAGCTGTGCACTAACATCTGCGCGGATCTCTGGGCGGCAGCAGAGGGAGGGGGGGGCGGAAAGCAGCGGCGGCGCCGGCTCGGGAGTTCTCAGGCTTACGGTCTGGCGCTCGGCACACGCGTCCACCCTCTGGCCCGCATGCACGGCCTCACACCCTCTCTCTCTCGCGCGCACACAATGGGGGCAGCCCGGGGGGCGCTTCTAGAGCCTGCCTCCTCCGAGTCCCCTGCGCCCGGGCTGGTCGGCGAGCTGTGGGCAAGCGCGCCCGCGAGGAGCCATCAGAAACTTGACCGGCGTCGTACAGCCGCCGAGAGAATGACAGAGAGAGAGCAGAGAGACGGATCCGGTCCGCGATCGCCCGATGCAAAGTTGGCTCCGTGTGCGCGGGTGTGCGGGTGTGCGCGCTCGCGGGTGTGCGGGTGGGTCCCTTAATTCCTTGTTTTGCCCCCACCTCCCTGGCTCTTTCTCTCTCTTTGCCTGCTTCCCGCGAGCTCCCGAGACAGAGAGGGGGAGAGAGAGAGAGAGAGATCCGCCGTCGCTTTCCTCGAGAGTCCCCCTAATAGCAGATATTCATGACTATTAATATTACACGAATACTTAATAAGGGAAGAATGGCTGGAAATCGAGCGTGAAGCGAGGAGGCAACTCAAGGCAGAGTCTGTTCTAAATGACGTCCATTGAATGAAGAATCAGTGTATCTAATCAGAGGTGGGGGGAGGAGGGAGGGAGGGAGG